CTGGTCAACACGTCATATGCAGCCGGACCGTCGATTTTGCAGTGTAGATCGTGCCACGGTTCTCTCGGGCAGCCGTCGGTCGAGCCCTGTTTTTTGTTATAATTGGCGTTGTGATAGTCGTCTTTGTGAATAGTTTTCAATGTGCTAAAGATGGAGTGATCTTGGGTGTCGTATCTTCCCTTGAAGAGATCGAGCCCGCCTACAAAAGCTACGATCTTTCTCCTATTGTTGGATGCATCGGCATCTACTATCACACTTTTCTGATGATGCGTGTAGATCGTTCCCGTTTCCTGATGGCAAAAGGGTAAATACGAGCATGCACTACGAATTCCCTTACAGTGATTCTTTATTACAAGAACCACTTAGAGAGATATGACGAAACCGATGACCTCTTTTGCAAGGGAGAAAGAAAAAGTTTATTGAATAAGGTTATGAAAAGTCGAACCCGCTTTTTCATCCAGGTACTTTTGCCAGCAATGCGTGGACAAAGCAGTACTTGAACGGATGAATGCTTGAAATAACTGCGCGTTTCTTCATCACTTGTTCCCATTACACCGTTCTGAATTTCATAAAATGTCGACCAACAAATTAGAGGCTAACTAAACGGCAATACAAACTTATTTAAACTGCAATAAATTATAAAATAAAAACAATAAAAAAAAATGTGGCGAGTGATAGTTTCTTACGTTTTTATATCCCAAAATACTAATGGAGGTAGGATCATCCCACACTAAAAGCAACACCCGAACACCTTCTTGAGACTTAAATTTCAAAATCTCCCCCAAAACACTACTACCCTTCGCATTCGGATCCTCCCTCACAAGCTGCACCAAATGATAAACCGACCACCCCGTAATATATATCAATTTCTTCGCCTGAGAAATCGCATCGAAAATATCCCTCCAACAATGTCCATGCTGATACATCCTCCCATTGGCCAGCAACAACTGCGGAAGCTTCTCGTCATGCGCATGCGCATCTTGATAAAGTGTCACACTCCCGCCTCTCCTTATCGGAAAATAAGTCCCCGGAACCCCCTGGTACGAACGATCCGCCCCAACTCCGCCATGGTAAAACGGCACCATATCCATCGGAATATACTGGATCGATAATGTCAAAACAGCCCCTGGATTGCACTGCTTCCCGTTTGCACCTATAATCGGATAAGTACCCGAAATTGGTAAACCTAAAAGAAGCTGTTCGACAGGTATTCCAACTGCACCCATGGTTTCTGACCCCACCACATCACTGTCTTTGACCACAAAATGGACTTCGGACGCGTAATGAGCGACCGGTACATAAAAATGCTGGCCCCACGTTGGGTTTTCGGTGTTGCTTATTACGAAGGTTCGACCGATCACGGCGTCGGATACTGAGATTGTGACGTACGGGTCGCTTGTGATCTTGGCGGGCGGGTCGTTACCATCCATTTTGCTGAGGAATTTTCCGGAAAGCCGACTGAACGTGTCGAGCAGGTTCTTGTGGAACAAATCCATGTTCGGGAGGTTTCGCGCTTCAACTACCGTTATATTTAGATTGCCGTGCAGTAACGAGACACGGAGTGAGGTCATCGAATCCTGGCACGCTAAGTGAGCCAAGTTCGAAAAGGGGATTGGTTTCTTTTTCTTCTCTTTTTTTTCCTTCTAAATCTCGAAAAGGGGATAAACTGGATGACAACACAGATGAAATCGAAAGCTAATAGTTTGCATCAAAGATTCAATATTTCAAGAAACACAATGCATCCAGATTAAGAATCCAGAAAACAAATTTCTTTGCAGGAACCAAAGAATCAAACAAAACCCCAGAAAACATCAAGAAAACATTGCAGGTAAGACATTCTGATTAAGAAAATGATTATGCAATGCAACTATAAAACGGGGTAGCCGGGTACAACAAGAAGAACTTGGCTTAGGATAAACAATGGCAAAAAGAAGAAGACATTGAACAGGGGATGGGGTTGACATAGCAATGACACAGAAGAATGGGCAAAATTCATTAAATTATTAAGACAACTAATAAGCGGAATATTCAAAACAAATAAAGGCACCAATAGAATCACGGTTCGCCATAATGGAACAGTCCAGTTCCGTTGCAACATCGCGGCTGCGTCGCGGCCGGAACGGACACATTTTAATTAAATTGCTATAAAAATACAATATTATTTCAAATATATTTTTAATAACAACATTACAATTCAATAATATGCAAAATATTATTACAATTTCAAAAATAAATATTACAAAGAATATTATGAAAATACAAGCAATATTAATACCATGTAGAATACCGAGCTGGAATTGTGTAAGCTATAATTGAAGGCTATAATTGAAGAGTGAGACCAAACATCAGTGATTCACTGATTCAGGGGAATCTCTGTTCTCTAACATGGACACCACCATCTTATTATTTATTTATTTTTTTTCTTTTATATTTTTTTTTCCTTATTTTTTTTAGTCAAATTTTTTTTTTTCAAAATCTTTTTACCTGTTCCGGCGCCGTTCCGACGGCGTTGCGGCCGTTCCGTGGCTCCGTCTCGCCCATTCCACCATTTTCTTGGGTTACGGATTCCGGAATGGAGGGCACCGTTCCCGTTCCCGTTCCGACGCCGTTCCAGCGAACCATGAATTTATAGAATAGATACAGATAGATATAGGCTCGTAATAAAAGACCGATGACAACTTTGTTGTGGTCTTATTCATCAAATGGGGGTTTTTGTGTAATGAAAAGAAAGGGTAAATGTGAACGGCTGGCGGCGGAAATAATAGTAAAAAAAAAATATATAGTTACTATTCCGTGAAGCAGCCAACTGTGGAATCGCCATTAGAGTATAACTAGAAAAAACGACAGGTTAAGAAAATGGAAGGTGCGGCGAAGGTATGCCGGCGACTCAGTGAGGGTTTCTAAGAATTTGGCGGGGAAACGGAAGTCAAGGTCGCCGGCGACTTTTCAATGTGTTTTGTGTTGCTACTCTCACGGTTGAAAAGTTAATATTTGGTTTTGATTTTTACCCCCATTATTTTGGAATAATTAAACATTTGCCCCCTTCATTTTCTTTTTTGGAAATTAGGACAAATTTTTTTTCTCCACATCTGAGATAACATTTTTATATTTGCCCAAAATACCATCAAACTTTCATTTGAACTAAAATACTCATCTCATGGGAAGTTATACTTATTTACATCGGGTATTTGTTACACGTGGAAGAGTGTAAATAATTACTCACTATGTACACATAGTGAGTGATTATGGATATGGTTTTTCGAGCTCGAGCTTTCTGACAGTCGAGCCCGAGCTCCTTTTTAATTGTTCGTGAGGTCCGAGCCGGCTCACGAGTTTTTTTATTTTTTTTAATTTTAAATATAACTAATATAAAATAAATAATAAGTCATAAAGAATTAAAAAAATAATTTACAGGTTTTTTATTTTCGATTTTTTTATTTATTATTATTTATAATAATAAATTTCTAATAATATTAATAAAAAATTAAAAAAAATTGGCTTGAACAAGACAAGCCCGGCTTGCCGGAGCTAGAGCTAAGAAAAAAAAATAGGCGAACAGCTCGAGCTCGGCTTGTTTACACCACCACTACAGATTAGAGATATTTTTAACACGGAATTAACTTTCTTTTTAAATTATTTTTTTCATTTTTTTTTAATTTTCAGTTATCGGGTTTAACATTAAATATAAAATTTTCGATTAAGGAAAAAAAAAAAAAAAAACCCACCATTGCTTTGGTGTTGGAGTAAAAGGATCCGCTAAAGTTGGGGGTATCCTCCTCCTTGAACTCGACGCCCGACCCGAGCGGGTGACCCGAATCGTACTCGAAGATGCAACACGTGGCGTAGTTAATCAACACCAGTCCCTTCTCCCTGCACACGTCAGCTTGCCGACAACATTCGTCCGGATTGTCTCCACCCTGTGCGACTCGCACCAGTCCACGTTCGGCCGGCCGGTGACTCCGGCGGCGTTGAAAACGTGTGTCGGTTTGAATGTCGGCCTCGAGGTCCGGCCGGTTCGGCTGTAGATCAGGAACTTGAGAGGTTCCGCGGCAGCGCCGTTGGCGGTGGCGCTCATTTCTGGAATTTACTGTGTACTGTGTGTGAGAGAGAGAAATGTGTGTGTGTGAGAGAGAGAAATGAATGTGTGGAGCTTCTAGTGCGACTTTTTCTTTCTGGTGCTGGCTATTTGCATCGGAACTTTTACTAAAATCGGCTTATTTACAGCGGAACCTTTTTTTATTTAAAGTTTTTTTGAATTTTTCTCTTCTATTTCCAAACTCTCTCTAGAAATTTGAATTTCGTAAATTTTTTCGACTTTGAAATCGTATCAAACGAGGCTCGATTTCGGTAAATTTTCAATATCCTACTATTTTTAACCAGTTTTATTTCCAATTTAGGTAAAAACACATATTTAGGATTAGATTTAGCAAAATTTCGATTTTTTTTTCAGCTCCCGTTTTCTGGAGCACGGAAACTCGAAGAAAATTCAAGTTGTTTCCGTGCTCTGCAAAACGGGAGATTCAAACGGCTTGAATCCTCCATTTTTGCAGAGCACGGGAACTTGAATTTTCTTCGAGTTTCCGTGCTCTAGAAAACAGGAGCTTCAAAGTTTCGTGATCGGGACCTTCAAACTGTTTTTTGAATTTTTTTTTTCGGAAAAAAAAAAAATTAAATATGTATCCCCGTCTCGTAGTACACGGGAACTTGAAGATTATTCAAGTTCCCGTGTTCTGCTGAATGAAAGACTCAAAATTCTGGAAGCTCCCGTTTAGCAGAACACGAGAACTCGAACAATCTTCAAGTTCCCGTGTTCTGCAGAAATGGAGCTACAAGTTTAAATTTTTTTTTAGTTAGTTTGTTTATTTTTTACAGATGGCACGTCAGGACAAGGGGAAAGGGATTATGGGTGCTTCTTTGAGTTCGGATAAAGTCCCGAAAATTAAATTTCGATATAGCGGGGAAGTCGTGGGGAAGCCGCGGCGGAAGCCGAGCGCATTCGTATGACTGCATCTCACCGGAGTAGGAGAGTTATTGAGCGGGACACTGATGTACCCATCGTGGACGAGATACCCCACATAGACCGGAGTTCGAGATCTATGGTGGGTAGCATTCCATCTTTAGGGGAAGATTCCCGTATCCCCTACGAGGAACACGATGAGGAGCAGGACCCTGTGGCGAGCGATTTTGATGATGTTCCTGTCCCGGCTCCGCGCGCACGCAAGTCTCGGTACGAGTTCGATACTTTCAGTGGGCCTATTGTGTTACATGGTCCGGCTCCAGGAGGACCGGCTGATTGGAGGATGAATCCTAGTTTCAAGAGTCATATTGCCTACTACATTTGTATATATACATATATATATATATATATATATATATATATATATATATATATACATTTTCTAATTAAATTAGAAATTCTAAAGGAGCGTAGCGTCGGACGATGTGAGTCCAGGATTACTGCGCTAATTAAATGATTTTAAGAAGGATGAGCTGAAGCAACTCATGGCTCCTTACGGGCAAGATGAGTTAGAGCTACTGGAGGCATCTGGTCTAGACTCACTCGAGCACTTCTACATGAAAAATGTGGACAAGGGACTCATGCATGCATTTATAGAGAGATGGCAGCCGAAAACGAACAATTTCCACATGCCTTGGGGTGAGATGACGATCACCTTGCATGATGTTGCGTTTATATTGGGGTTGCGTGTCGAGGTCTAGTAGTGTACGGTGATTCTGTTGAGGAGAGGCCTATGTGTGAGTTATTGCTAGCAGAGGTTCTTGATTTGGACCTGATAGAGGCGCATGCCAAGCTCGGCAATAGTGGGATAAAATGGTCGGAGTTTGTTCAGCGTGTGCACAGTCGGTCCCGAACTTGTCGGCAGAAGGTGGTAGGATATTTGTTGTTTTTGATCGATATGGCTTTATTCCCTGACCGGAGTGTAGACAGGTTCAAGCCAACATTAATTTAATATAATATATTACATTTTAATATATTATGTTAATAATATAGTATTAATTAGTATAACTTAGGTACTAATATACTATAATCTAGTGTAATATTACATTAATTTAATATAATATATTATATTTTAATATATTATGTTAATAATGTAGTATTAATTCGTATAACTTAGATTCTAATATAATATAATCTAGTGTAGTATAATTTTAATTTAATATAATCTACTATTAATCTAATATAATCTCATTTATTTGTCGTGCTGGATTTATGAGTACTTCCGCCCTTTGCGAGCACCTATTAATCCAAATTATAGGGAGATGCAGCGTCATTTCCTAAAATGGAAACCACGCAAGGGTATTTCGGACTTGTTCTCGGTCTGAAGGATGCTTGATGATGTGCAGGTCGATCAGGTATGTATTTTAATTGTTGAATTATTTATTTATTTATTTATTGTTGCGTTGATGTATTAAGTATTTATTATTAAGTAAATCTAATTTTTATTACGTTAATCTAATTTACCAGATTGACTGGATGTCTTACGGTCCGTACGTACATAGACGCTTTCCGTGTACACTATATTATGGATGTATACAGTTAATGGAGATTATAGAGCCATATTAGCCGGATCGCGTCCTACGGCAGTTCGGCTTTAGACAGACCATACCACAGTGCTACATTCCGTTTAAAGAGCCATGCCTACGTGGTCCGCTTGGAGGTTAGACATACTTGGTACAGTACGATCCTCTAGGCGAGGAGTGGATGGACCTGACTGCCAGCTCGATTACATTGGAGGGTAGGACATTACCCTGGCCGCCGTCGGATACTGTTTCTCGGTATATGGACTAGTACGTTCCTTGCACGCATCAGTACGTCATCAACAGGGATCCAGCACCACAGGGACCACCGCCCGTCGTAAGTCCGCCTCCTATTCAGCCGAACTTCTATGATGTTGTGCGTATCATCCACCCGTACATGCACGAGATACCCAAGAATCTACGTGTGCAGTTACTGCCTCGTGTGGAGCCGCACGCACGTTTTCTCGGTTTACCCCTACCTCAGACTGGAGATTCCGACGACGACGACTTTATGGAGATGCCACCACCGCGTCGTCGACCTCCTCACAGGACTCCCTCTGTGCTGATCTCGGAACACTGCTTCTGCAACACATCTGTACCCACAATTTTCATCTGCGAAAATATTAACATACGACACAATAGATCCTGCCACAAAACCTGGGATGTAAGATCTGAAATTGAGCTCCTCGCCCGGTTCCTTTCGAGGCATCGGCATACGATTCTGATAGGCAGTGGATTCATCACTTGATCTACCACTCCCTCGACCCCGCCCCCATCCACGACCAGAAGCGGGATCGGTTACTTTCGATGGTGGGGTTCCGGTAGAAGTACTTTTTCGACCCTTAGAACCTGACGATTTACCCTTTTCTGCATCAGTAGACGACTTCGGCGGGAATGGTGGGTACTCCCAACCGGATTTATCTCTCTTCGTCGGTTTATCCTTTGGCCTTCCCTTCGGTTTAACATATGCAGGCTCTGCCAAGTGGATGGTGTCTGGATTAATAGTGCTATTCATGTAATCAACAGTCATCTTTTGAGTCATGTAATCTTTTTCTAACACTTGGTGGCTAGTCTAATTATCCAGTCTCTCATATTTGCTTCGCGATCTACCTGTGCTTCGGGTATTTCTGGTTCTTCAACGTGCATGGTACTCCAAAACGGATGTAGATCCATAGATATAAATGTATCACGTTGCTGGATTTTCAACGCAATTTGGCATGCACATTGAAGTCCATGAGTAACCCACAGAACGTGATCACAATAGATGGGTCTTCTACCCCGGTTTATCGAGCTCATTATCAAGCAAATTTAATGTTTTATGTGTGACTTTGCATATCAAACCCTGAAATACCAGATACGATGATTTATGCAAGCTGATTAAACTGCATTTTGAAAACTCACCCTTGATCTTGGTAAGTTGATACTCGACCCCGGAGTCGAGTTGATACTGAATGGTGTTCACAGTGCCGGTAAAAGCACTAATTCAACCCTTCGACGAATTGTGAGCATTTTCCACCCTGTTAATAGTCATTAAAATAACAACTAATAATTAAAAACGCCCAAAATATAATATAAAATACAAGCCGAAAATGAAACCGAAAATACCTATTAGTCGACGTGTTCCCAAAATGCAAAATCTTATTAGTCCATGCTTTGAAGAATTTGTGCTTGTATATTAGCCAAGTATCGTTAAGGTATGATATCAATTTGGGGTATCAACCATAGCGCCTGACCATTTCCTCGTAATTTTCATAGTAATCTTCTTCTATTTTTTATTCCACTAATGTAGCCTAATGTCCGCGCCGGAATATAACCCCGTGTTTAGTACTACCAATAATTTTTTTTCCACGTTTCTATTGATGTGAAACAAACACAAGTTCATGTGACGTTTCTATTTGGGGCATTGCTTTAATGAGTCCCTATTCACGATCCGTCAATATCACATAAGGTACTAGCCCCCCCATGCACATTTCAAACAACTCAAAGCCCATGCATATGTGTTTGCATCTTCATGTAACATGAAAGCAACAACAATTATAAAATTGTAACCAACATGGGTGATTCCAACTATTTTCAGAAGTGGCATCTCATACCTACGCAAATACATAAATATCAAATGCAATCAATGTACAATAACCCAATAGTAAATACTAATTAAAAACATACCTATTGGTTTTGTAAGTGCACTCCATCAATATAACGTGAGAGAATAACCGCAAAAGTTTCAGTGAAATAGGAGTGGCGAACATCAAATCAGTAAGTGTATCACCAGCTTCATTACATCGATACCAATATTCATATCCAGATTCTTGAAGGTTTGACATCATGTGTTGTATCACAGTCTTCCCCGCCATATTCTCTTTTTTCATCTTCTCAAGTTGGTTGTAGACATGTTTCACACTCGTCGATGTCTGTGGATTATCCTTCCTCAATCGATCAATAATTAATGTCGGCTTCACGTGGCTCATTCTAAGTAACTTCACTACCTCGTATTCTTCTGGTGTCAAACGACTATCCGGTCCTTGTCCGGTAAGATACGGTAGCGTCGGGTGAGTGTGGATGTCATTTTTTAAATTCATTCGCCATAGTCCATCGTATCGATTTCTGCTATAGTATATACGAAACGGACATCCACATTTCTTTGATCCCTCATTTTGTTGCTTCACACCTTTGGTTCGTTCTTCACGTCCCTTCCCAGACACATGACATCTAATTACTACATAAACGTTTTTCTGGCTTGAAGTTACTATCAATCGATGACCACAAGTAGCAGCCGTTTTTTTTACCATGACACTAATTCTTTACCAGGACACTAATTCTTTACCAGTTTCACACTCAATATCCACACTGAAATATTGACTGTGATCCTCAGAAATTGTTGGTGTGTTTTGAGGAACATCATAACACATGTTGGGATCCTCGTACTCGTTGTCATATTCAGTTCCAAACTCATCGTCAAAATCACCTTCACTAGCCTACCAAGGTACAACAAATAATAATTAGTATATTCATAACACTATGAATAAAAAAAATTAAAAAAAAATTATAATATTGGGGTTCTCGTGCCCTAGGAGATGATTGTTCATGGTTCCCATCCTCTAGGGCACGGGAACTTGGTGTTCCCGTTCCCCACAACACGCTTGTTCTGTTTTCTTTTTTTTTTTCTTTTTTTTTTGAATTTCCCGTGTTGTGTAGCACGGGAAACCCAAAAAAATGGGGTTCTCGTACTGCACATCACGATAATACCGCGAAAAAATATAAATTTCACTAATTTCTTTGATTTTAGCTCGTAGAAGTCATCCGAATCGGCCATTATGTTATTTGTTGTCGTCGGGCAGTTGATTTATGAAACAAACACGAAATTCTTTTTTTTTTCCAACTTTTTTAAGTTGAGAGCGTTTTGAGTTTTTTAGAAAGTTGGAAAAGGTTGAAATGAAAGTACCGCTGCAAATAAGCCAATTTTAGTAAAAGTCGCGACAATTAGCATTTCAGTTTATTTTACCGGATCCGACTTATATGGGAAATATATTTTACATTATTATTACTGTTATTTTATAAGAGGAATTTTCTTGTGCACCGTTGTGAATTGACGAGAATACCCTCTCATTACATATTGGATTAGGACTACATACTTTTAACTGAAATACGTTTTTTACTAGCTTGCAGTGCTATTTATTTTATTTGAATCTTCACCCAAAAAAACCAAAATTCGCCGGCCGTTTCGTGGGCTATAACATGAAATGCGGTGAACTACTTCGTGTACAAATACACGAAATATATGTGTTTATCAGTATTAAACACGTAGGACGAAATTGGGAGATTTCAGGAGTTATTTAGTTTCGTGATGAAGAACACGAAATAGTATCTTCAATTTTGTAGTATATTACACGAAATGGAAGCTCAAGATTCGTACAATACTGTGCCTCAGGTTTTTAGCTCTATGATGTACCCTTGTCGAATGGATAGGTGGTAGAGGGCAATTCGCGACCAAATTAACAAGCATGAAATGATTGTTGTGCAATTTCAAAACAATCATCATGATAAGTGACCACTGCCAAACATGGAAAGATAAGTCATACTCTCCACTTGGGTAAAAAGTACCACAAATGCACCGTATTTGGTTGTAATGATCAATCCCATTTCATTCATATCCATCCAATAAGCTTGTGGACAGGATCTGA